GACGCCTATAATCCCAGCACTTTGGGAGGCCGAGGCGGGTGGATCACGAGGTCAAGAGATCGAGACAATACTGGTCAACATGGTGAAACCCCGTCTCTACTAAAAATACAAAAATTAGCTGGGCATGGTGGCACGTGCCTGTAATCCCAGCTACTCAGGAGGCTGAGGCAGGAGAATTGCCAGAACCCAGGAGGCGGAAGTTGCGGTGAGCCGAGATCGCACCATTGCACTCCAGCCTGGGCAACAAGAGCGAAACTCTGTCTCAAAAAAAAAAAAAAAAAAAAGGAAAAAAACCCAAACTGATAAAGTAAAAACATCATACTCAGTGGTGAAAACTGACTGTTTTTTCTTAAGATGGAGAACAAAGAAAGGATGTTTGCTTTCCCTACTCCTACTGAACATTGTAGTGGAGATTTTAGTCAGTGCAATAAGGCAAGAAAAATTAAAATCCCCACCTTGGGGGGATAAAAAGAGCCAGGTGTAGTGGCATGTGCCTGTAGTCCCAGCTAGTCAAGAGGTTAAGGTAGGATACTACACTCTAGCCTAGGAAACATAGCAAGACCCTGTCTCTTAAAGAAAAGAAAAAAATTAGTCATACAAATTGTGGGAATAAAGAAGTAGTGCTGTCTTGATTTACAATTGACACGATCTTGCATTTAGAAAATCGTAAGATATCTACAAAAAGAAAACTACTAGAACTTAAAACAAATGAATAAGGCTGCAGGATCTATGTACCAAAGTCAATTTTGTTTCCATATACTAGCAACAAACAACCCTAAAAAGAAAACAATTATATTCACAATTTCATACAAAAGAATAAAATATTTAGGAATAAACTTAAAAGAAATATGAGACCTATATACTGAAAACTGGAAGTTCTTGAGAGAAATTAAGATTTAAATAAATGGAAAATGTGCTGTGTTTATGGATTGGACAATTTAAGATGATGATTCTTCCCAAAATTTATATAGAAATAAAAAGAACCGGCTGTATGCAGTGGCTCACGCCTGTAATCCCAACACTTTGGGAGGCTGAGGCAGGTGGATTACTTGAGACCAGGAGTTCGAGACAAGCCCGGCCAACATAGTGAAACCCCATCTCAATTAAAAATAAGAAAATTATCCAGGTGTGGCGGCTGACACCTATAATCCCAGCTACTTAGGAGGCTGACACAAGAAAACTTTCAACCTGGGAGGTGGAGGTTGCAGTGAGCCAAGATCGTGCCACTATACTCAAGTATGGGTGACAGAGTGAGACTGTCTCAAAAAAAAAAAACGACATAGTAATTCAGACAGTGTGGTATTGGCAAAAAGATAGATTTATAGACGGGTAAATCAGAAATAAAATCTTACATTTATAGTCAATTGATTTTTCCACAAAAGTTCCAAGGTAATTCAATAGGGAAATACTAATATTTCTAATAAATGGCATTGAGATAATTGTATATTCATATTTGAGGGGGCTGGTGGGGGAATAACTTAGCCCTTAACCTCACACCATACACAAAAATTGAGCAAAATTTATAGATCTAAATATTAGAACCAAAATTATAAAATTTCTAAAACCAGAGAAAATTCTTGGCTTTAGATTAGTTCCAAAGAACTCTTACAACTCTGTAAGACAACTTAGTTTGAAGAGAGATTTCACCAAAAAGAGATCTCTATGGCTAATAACCATATGCAAAGATGCTCAATATCTTTGGTCATTAGGAAAATGCAAATTTACAGTACAATGAGATACCAGTACATAGAAACTAGAATTGTTATATTTCAGAGGCTTTTAATACCAAGGGTTAGTGAGGACATGAAAAAACTGGAAGCTTATACATTACTGATGGAAATGTAAGACTTACAGCCACTCTGAAAAACATCTGGGCAGGGTTTAGTGGCTCATGCCTGTAATCCCAGCACTTTGGGAGGCTGAAGTGGGAGGCTGCAATGAGCTGAGACTTTGCCACTGCACTCCAGCCTGGGTGACTGAGTGAGACTGTCTCTATTTTTTTTTTTTGTATAGAGACAGGGTATGGCCATGTTTTATAGGCTGATCTTGAACTTCTGCGCTAAGCAATCCTTGGCATCCCAGAGGGCTGGAATTATAGGCGTGAACCACCACACCTGGCCTAAACATTTTATATTTAACCCATCAATTCTACTCTTAAGTACCTACTCAAGGGAGATAAAAACATTTGTCGACCCGACTCGTATCCGAATATGCATAGCAGCATTATTCATCATTCAATGTAAGGAAAAATTTATTAAATAAGAAACAAAATTGTGGCATTAAACATATACAGTATGTTGGAAAAAAAAATTAACCATAAAGAAATATTGGCTGGGTACAGTGGCTGAGGCCTGTAATCCTAGCACATTGGGAGGCCAAGGCAGGTGGATCACGAGGTCAGGCATTTGAGACCAACCTGGCCAACGTGATGAAACCCTGTCTTTACTAAAAATAGAAAAAAATTAGCTGGGCATGGTGGCAGGTGCCTGTAATCCCAGCTACTCGGGAGGCTGAGGCAGGAGAATCACTTGAACCAGAGAGACAGAGATTGCAGTGAGCCAAGGTCCTGCCATTGCACTCCAGCCTGTGCAACAGAGCTAGACTCCATCATATACACACACATAAAAAAGTTGACCACCTGACAGAATTTTTGTTCATCAGGAGATTAAACATGCAAGCTGTGGAGTAGAAAAGATATTTGCAACACGTGTAACTATCAAAGGGATTGAATTTAGAAAATATACAGAATTTTTAGAGATGAAAAAGCACAACCCAATAGAAAAGTGGGCAGAAGAGGTTGGGCACCATGGCTCGTGTCTGTAATCCCAACACTTTGGGAGGCTCAGAAGAGCAGATGAGGAGTTCAAGATCAGCCTGGGTAGCCGGGTGTGGTGGCTCACGCCTATAATCCCAGCACTTTGGGAGGCTGAGGTGGGTGGATCACTTGAGGTCAGGAGTTCGAGACCAGACTGGCCAATATGGTGAAACCCCATCTCAAAAAGAGATTAGCCTGGGTGACATAGTGGGACGCCCATCTCTACTAAAAAGAAAAAAAATCCATTGTGGTGGTACACACCTGTGGTTTCAGCTACTTGGAAGCTAAGGTGGGAGGATCGCTTGAGCCCAGGGTGGGCACAGGGCAGAGGTTGCAGTGAGCTGAGATTGCGCCATTGCACTCCAGCCTGCATGACAGAGCAAGACCCTGTCTCAAAAAAGTGGGCAAAAGACTTGAAAGACAGTCGACAAAAAGTGTCCACTAAAGATGTTCAACATCTTAAAATAATCAAATAAATGCAAATTAACCACTAAAGAGTCACCAGACTGACAGAAATTAAAAAGTCTGATAATACCAAGTGTGAATAAAGATGTGGTACAAGGGAAACTCTTTCACACTGCTGATGGGAGTATAAATCTGTATTATCATTTTGGAAAACTTTGTTAGCTACTAAAATAGATTATATGTATTTCCTATGGCCCAGCCCTTTTATTCCTGGGCATATGTACTTATATGTATATCATGATATTTGTTCCTTAGAGCAAAACAGTGTGAACAACACAAATGTCCATGAGTAGTAGACTAGATAAGTAAATTATGGTACATTCATATAATACTATACAGGAAGGAAAAATAGTAGCTACTTGCAACAGTATATATCCTTCTTAAAAATATAATTGTGGGCTGGGTGTGATGGCTCACGCCTGTAATCCCAGCACATTGGGAGGCCGAGGTGGGCAGGATCACCTGAGGTCAGGAGTTTGAGACCAGCCTGGTCATGATGGTGAAACCCTGCCTCTACTAAAAATACAAAATGAGCCGGGCATGATGGCACAAGCCTGTAATCCCAGCTACTCTGGAGGCTGAGGCAGGACAATTGCTTGAACCTGGGAGGTAGAGGTTGTTGTGAGCCAAGAGCGAGCCGTTGCACTCCAGCCTGGGCAACAAGAGCAAAACTTCATCTCAAATATATAATTGTATATAAAATAAGCCAAACATACACAAAATATATCACATATGACTATAGATTTCAAAAAACAGATAAATCTAAATTATAGTGTTTAGGGATTGCATAGCTCAGTTGTAAAAATAGAAAGCAAAATAAGGTAGTGAACTTCAAGTTAGCCTGTTTTTATTTAAAACTTGGACATTTCATTCCTTTATGGCTTTTTGCCCTAGTTTTGATTTTCTCATTAAAACTGTGTTGGCTGGGCACGGTGGCTCATGCTGTAAACCCAGCACTTTGGGAGGCCAAGGCAGGTCGATCACCTGAGGTAAAGAGTTCAAGATTAGCCTAGCCAATATGGCAAAATGCCATCTCTACTAAAAATACAAAAATTAACTGGGGTGGTGGCATGTGACTGTAATCCCAGCTACTCAGGAGTCTGAGGCAGGAGAATTGCTTGAGTCCAGGAGGCAGAGGTTGTAGTGAGCTGAGATCACACCACTGCACTCCAGCCTGAGCAAGAGAGCAAGACTCCATCTCAAAAAAACAAAACAGTGTTTTTCTTGATTATTGAGTTTTTAGCATCCTTCAGATTTTATGCCTAAGATCAGTGCCTCAAATGCCTTACTCTAGTTCTGACCATGGTCAGAATAGTGGTTAATCCTAGGGGAAGGGGAAGGGTTATCATCAGGAAAGGGCACCCTTTGGTCATCTGGAGTGCTACCAATGTTCTATTTATTGGCTAAGTGGTGATACAGATATTCATTTTACAAAAATGTAATAAGTTGAACATGGACATTTATATTTTATGGGCTTTTCTATGTGCTTGAAAAATTTAATAATGAGAGGAAAAATAAAAAGGTAGATATAGAATTACTGTGAAAAGGGAGTCTTTATTAAACTTTTTTTTTTCTTTTTTTTTTTTTTGAGACGGAGTTTCACTCTTGTTACCCAGGCTGGAGTGCAATGGCGCGATCTCGGCTCACCACAACCTCCGCCTCCTGGGTTCAGGCAATTCTCCTGCCCCAGCCTCCTGAGTCGCTGGGATTACAGGCACGCGCCACCATGCCCAGCTAATTTTTTTTTTTGTATTTTTAGTAGAGACGGGGTTTCACCATGTTGACCAGGTTGGTCTCGATCTCTTGACCTCTTGATCCACCCGCCTCGGCCTCCCACAGTGCTGGGATTACAGGCTTGAGCCACCGCGCCCGGCCAAACTTTTTTTTCTAAATCTCTAAAAGTATATGTCTATACGTATGTGTGTATGTATTTATTTGAGATAGAGTCGCTCTGTCACCCAGGCTAGATTGCAGTGGCACAATCTTGGCTCACTGCAATCCCAAGTTCAAGCGATTCTCCTGCCTCAGCCTCCAGAGTAGCTGGAACTACAGGTGTACTCCACCATGCCCAGCTAATTTTTTTTGTTTTTTTTCAGATGGAGCTTCACTCTTGTTACCTAGGCTGGAGTGCAATGGTGCAATCTCGGCTCACTGCAACCTTCGCCTCCTGGGTTCAAGCAATTCTCCTGCCTCAGTCTCCCGAGTAGCTAGGACTACCGGCGTGCATCACCACGCCCAGCTAATTTTTGTATTTTTAGTAGAGACGGGATTTCACCATGTTGAGCAGGATGGTCTCGATCTCTTGACCTCGTGATCCACCTGCCTCGGCCTCCCAAAGTGCTAGCATTATAGGCATGAGCCACCATGCCTGGCTAATTTTTGTATTTTTAGTAGAGACTGGGTTTCACCATGTTGGCCAGGCTGGTCTCAAACTCCTGACCTCAAGTGATCCACCCACCTCAGCCTCCCAAAGAGCTGGGATTACAGGCATAAGCCACCATGCCTAGCCTAAAGTATAATTTTTACGCTTTTGACTGTATTTGGCATAATCTTTTTTTTTTCCTGACAAACAGCTGCTTTGAATATAACCTCTTAAGAGTATAAATGATTTTTCTCATGAGAAGAATTTTTCTATTCATTGTGTAATCCCATTTTTCCATCAAATTTTACTCAGTGTAAGGAAGATTAACAATAACCAAATGCACAATTTCCCAGAGCGAAATTTACATGACTGGCAAGAAATCCTGGTTATTAGAGAGTAATTCCATTCTTATGATTTGCAGACAATGGAATATTCCTTAGTCATTAAGTAGTAGCATAAATAGTAATGATGTACCTAGATAGCTTCAGTGTATCCAGACCTGAATGCAGGGTTCCAGTTATCTCCATATTCCCAATTTACATTTCTTCAGGTATTTGACTGAGTGGGTATAATCGGTATCTACTAGCTTTTTCTGCTTACAGAAGGTGAAAGATGAGATCAGGAGGTAACCTAAACCTCATGTACTACATGGTCATCTATTTATAGTCATGAATAAGAATACTGTTTCTGTAGAAGCCTAATTGTTAATTATTGTTTTAATATCTCTGCTCTCCATGAATTTCAAAACATCAAGACTGGCCAGGCACGGTGGCTCATGCCTGTAATCCCAGCAGTTTGGGAGGCAGAGGCGGGCGGATCATCTGAGGTCAGGAGTTTGAGACCAGCCTGACCAACATGGTGAAACCCCATCTCTACTAAAAATACAAAATTAGCCGGGTGTGGTGGTGGGTGCCTGTAATCCCATCTACTTGGGAAGCTGAGGCAGGAGAATCAGTTGAACCTGGGAGGCAGAAGTTGCAGTGAGCCAAGACTGTGCCATTGCACTCCAGCCTGAGTAACACGAGTAAAACTCTGTCTCAAAAATAATTTTTAAAAAATCAAAACCACCAGTTAGTAAGCATAAAAAACTAAAATCTGCCTGCTTTCAGGTATCTGAGTGGAGCTATCAGAGGCAAGATGCTGTTGTTGTTGAAAAAGAAGCTTGTTAGTCTTTTAGACAAAGATCTAAAGGTTATTAGGTAAAGGCCACCAAGAAATGGAAAGGGCCTGATTTTAAGGCCATTTGCACATATGTAGACAAAGCCTTGCGTCATTTAGCAGCCTTTGCTTTTGCTGCCCCTGTTTTCTCAGACCTTTTCCCTTTGAGACTTCAGTGAAACAGACAATCAAGACTTTGAAATTTTACAGAAGAGGCTGGGCAAGGTGGCTCACACCTGTAATCCCAGCACCTTGGGAGGCTGAGGTGGGCGGATCATGAGGTCAAGACTTCGAGACTAGCCTGACCAACATGGTGAAACCCTGTCTCTCTCTCTTTTTTTTTTTTTTTTTTTTGAGATGGAGTTTCGCTCTTGTTACCCAGGCTGGAGTGCAATGGCGTGATCTCGGCTCACTGCAACCTCCGTCTCCTGGGTTCAGGCAATTCTCCTGCCTCAGCCTCCTGAGTAGCTGGGATTACAGGCACATGCCACCATGCCCAGCTAATTTTTTGTATTTTTAGTAGAGACGGGGTTTCACCATGTTGACCAGGATGGTCTCGATCTCTTGACCTCGTGATCCACCCGCCTCGGCCTCCCAAAGTGCTGGGATTACAGGCTTGAGCCACCGCGCCCGGCCTAACCCTGTCTCTTTTTAAAAAAAAAAAAAAAAAAAAAAAAATTTTTACAGAAGAGGCACAGCTTGCCTTCCAGTAATCTATTGCTGTATAATAATCTACTCTAAAACATAGCGACTTAAAACAACAATCATTTCTTTTGCTCACTACTTTGCAAGTTAGGGAGGTCTCATGAGGAAGGCTCATCTTCCCTCTGTGTGGCATCAGATGGGGTAGCTCAGCTGGGGGACTGATGGGTTCAACTTGCAAGATGGCTCACCCTCGTAGCTAATCAGGTAATCCTGGCTGTCAGCAGGCTACTTGGGCTTCCTTGCAGGTTGGTGGCTGAGTTCCAAGAGAGCAAGGTGCAAGTACATGGCATTTTTGTGTTCTGGCCTTAGAAGTCACATAGCATCACTCCTAACATGCTCTTTCAGTTGAGACAGTCCAAGAGATCCACCTTAGTTGAAGGGGAGGGGACAAAGACCGCATCACTCAATAGGAGCAGTGTCAAAGTCAGTCACATTGTGAGAGAGCATATGGGATAAGAGATCATTTGAGGCCATCTTTGGAAAATACAGTCTGCCCCACCCACTTGCACTGCTTTTCCTCAGCTTGGCCATTTTCTTCAACTCCCACAAAAGGACTTCCTTTCTTCTTCCCTGCTTTCACCCTTTCTGCCTGCCTTCCTGCATTCCTTTCTGTTTTTCCTCCTTTCCCTTTCTTTTTTTGAGACGTGAATCCTGTATAGCAAGCTTCTGAATAAATGTGTCTTTGAAAAAGAGGATTTGGGCTGGGCACAGTGGCTCACACCTGTAATCCCAGCACTTTGGGAGGCCGAGGCGGGCAGAATCCACATGGTCAGGAGACTGAGACCATCCTGGCCAACATGGTGAAACCTTGTCTCTACTAAAATAGAAAAAAAATTAGCTGGGTGTGGTGGTGCATGTCTGTAGTCCTAGCTACTTGGGAGCTGAGGCAGGGGAATCGCTTTAACCAGGGAGGCAGAGGTTGCAGTGAGCCGAGATTGCACCACTGCACTCCAGCTGGTGACAGAGCGAGACTCTGTCTCAAAAAAAAAAAACGGTTTCATTCTTAGTAAGTGGAGCCAAAATCTAGACACTCAGAACTGGTGACCAGACAGTGGATTGGAGGTGTGTGTGCTGGGTCTTTTATTGGGCTAGAATGCTTTGAAACAGTTCTATAACTGCAACTTCTTCTCTAGCAGATAAAGAATCCTTTGAACAAAGCTCTGAAGTCAGTGAAGCACCAACTACCGACAGTGATGAAGTCATAGTGCCACCCATGTCTCAGAAATATCCTAAGGCTGTAAGTACACTGGAGTGATAAGACTGTAAACAATGACAGTGTGCTTAGTGGCCACACATGTGAAAGTCAGCCCAGTTTAATGAACCTGATGGAAAACACAAATTGTTTAAATTTATGTTTTGTGTGAATGAAGGTTAGCTTGTACAGTCAGATAAAAGGATCATTTTCTTGAGATGGTATAAATGATGACTTGCTTCAATACTTCTATCTGGATCCGTTGCTGCCTCTTACTCCCATATCTTCCATTGCATCCTGTGATTCATGCCCCGCCTGAATGGTGCCCCTATCATTAAGTCCATCTAAGGGGAGCAGGTTTGCTTTGGGAGATGGAATCTGGAAGAGAAGACAGGATTCTTCATGGGAGGGCTCATGGAGATCATTCCATTTCTGCAGTTTTTCACTCAACCTGTGACTAATAGTTCAACCTCAAAGCTCTTTCAGAACTAATTGAAGACACATACATATATTAATAAACGTCTGCAGATATATTCAATAATCACTGTTTTCTAACCTGTGGGTTATAAATGAGGTAGAAAACAATTATTCTTTTTTTTGTTTTTTTTTTTAGTAGAGATGGGGCTTTACCATGTTGGCCAGGCTGGTCTTGAGTCCTGACCTCAGGTGATTTGCCCGCCTCAGCCTCCCAAAGTGCTGAGATTACAGAAGTGAGCCACTGTGCCTGGCAAAAACAATTAAGCCACTGTTCCTGGCACATCCATAGGTGCTCAATTAATGTTCGTTGAGTGAGTGACTGAATAAAAGATTCGGAGCAAATTGATGATTATGAACTTCATTAGAAACATTAAGTAAGAATGTAGGGGCCGAGTGCAGTGGCTCACACCTGTAATCCCAGTACACTGGGAGCTGAGGCAGTGGATCACCTGAGGTCTGGAGTTCGAGACCGTCCTGACCAACATGGAGAAACTCTGTCTCTACTAAAAATACAAAAATTAGCCAGGTGTGGTGGCACATGCCTGTAATCCCAGCTACTTGGAGGCTGAGGAAGGAAAATTGCTGGAACCCAGGAGGCGGAGGTTGCAGTGAGCCAAGAGCAAGCCATTGCACACCAGCCTGGGCAACAAGAGTGAAACTCTACTGTAAGGACACGTGCACACGAATGTTCATTGTAGCACTGTTTACAATAGCAAAGACCTGGAACCAACTCAAATGCCCATCGATGATAGACTGGACAGGGAAAATGTGGCACATATACACCATGAAATATTATGCAGCCATCAAAAACGATGAGTTCACGTCCTTTGTAGGGACATGGATGAACCTGGAAACCATCATTCTCAGCAAACTGACACAAGAGCAGAAAATCAAACACCGCATGTTCTCACTCATAGGTGGGTTTTGAACAATGAGAACACATGGACACAGGGAGGGGAGCACTACACACTGGGGTCAGTTGGGGGGAAATAGGGGAGGGACAGCGGGGGGTGGGGAGTTGGGGAGAGAGAGCATGGGGAGAAATGCCAGATATAGGTGAAGGGGTGGAAGGCAGCAAATCACACTGCCATGTGTGTACCTTTGCAATAATCTTGCATGTTCTTCACAGGTACCCCAAAACCTAAAATGCAATAAAATAAATAAATAAATAAATGTAGGATGACCTTAAAACCAAAGGGGGTAGATTATGTAATATAAACTCTGTTGTAAGAAATTAGAAAAGGGAAATTACAGTTGTTTTGTAGAGGTTAGAAAATTCTTCCTTGAAAGCTGGAACTTGTGCTGAAGAATTGCAGGAAAATGAAGGATATTGGAGTGAGGAGAAACAACTCAAAGTCAGTAGACTTAAACATTTAATATAACACATAGTTCAATTTCAGGCCAGGTGTGGTGGCTCACACCTGTAATCCCAGCACTTTGGGAGACTGAACCAGGAGGATTGCTTGAGGCCAGGAATTCAAGACCAGCCTGAGATTCTAAGTACTATGAAGGAAATACATCAGGTGATATAATAGCAACTGGAGGGGTTACATTAGGATAGATGTTAAGGAAAGATTTCTCTGAGGAAGGGATGTTTGAACTGAAATCTAAAGAATGAGAAGAGAAGGGCTACCCATCTACTGGGTAGACTGTACTCATCTCAGGCAAAGAAATTGGCAAGTGTAAAGGCCCTGAGGTAGGAAAGAGTTTCATTTACCTGAGGTATGGGAAATCAAAAGAAAATTAAAGTTTCTCTTGGTCACGTATATATTCTCCTCCCCCTTTCAAAGGAGGACAGTGAAGTCTAGGGAGAAGGGCTTGCTCAAGTTAATATTTAATACAGTTGTACTAAGTGCATACTGTGTCCCAGGCATTGTGCCAAACACTGGATACTCAGTATAGATTTTAATGGGGCTGGGCGTGGTGACTCATGCCTTTAAACACTTTGGGAGGCCAAGGTGGGTGGATCATTTGAGGCCAGGAGTTCGAAACCAGCCTGAGCAACATGGTGAAACCTCAACTCCACTCAAAATACAAAAATCAGCCAGATGTGGTGGTGCACACCTGAAATCCCAGCTACTCGGGAGGCTGAGGCAGGAGAGTCACTTGAATCCAGGAGGCAGAGGTTGCAAAGAGCTGAGATCATGCCACTGCACTCCAGCCTGGTGACAGAGCGAGACTCCGTCTCAAAAAAAAAAAAAAAAAAAAAAAAA